AGGCTAAAATAAGCAAAACAGAAGCTAAAATAGACAGAAGCTAAAATTAACATAACTGGTTAAAATAAGCAAAATAGAGGCTAAAATGAACACAACAGAGGCTAAAATATGCAAAACAGAAGATAAAATAGACATAACCAAAGCTAAAATTAATATAACTGGCTAAAATAAGCAAAACAGAGGCTAAAATGGACATAACAAAGGCTAACATAAGCAAAACCGTGGCTAAGTAGATCACAGCAGAAATTAAGATAATGCTGGTTAAAATGAACAACACCTAGGTTAAAATAAGCAAAACAGAAGCTAAAATAGGCATAACAGGTTAAAATGAGCATGACAAGCTGAAATCAACAAAACAGAGGACAAAATTAGCTGATTACAAGCTGAAATGGGCAGAACATGAGCTAAAAATGAGATAAACAAAAGTCAAAAATAATAGAAGAGAATAAAAAACTAGCATGAATGTAGTTAAAAGCTATAATGGCAGATTTTTCTCAAACGAGTTGAACATTTCTTTACAGTTATTGTTATTCATTCAACCTTTATTTATACAGGTTAGTCTCAGTGAGTCACGAGGACTCATTTACAGGAGAGACCAGTTTTAGACGGACAACATGACTTTGACTTTATTGCTATAAAGTTATTGTTAAAGCAGCAATAAACATGTGGAAGAAACAATAAACAGGAAAGCAATAATGCGAAAGATGAATATGTCTTCAAAGTACTAATCTGTTTTTTAAATTCAACGAGTAATAAAATAAGACGAGGACAAAAAAAAAAAAGATAATTAAACAAACAAACAAAAAAAATTAGAAATAGTAGTTCTCATGTTTCATGTCGGTGCTAACCCACTTCTCACTCTTTCTGGATCCCACTCGTCAGTAACTGACCCAGTTTGTCAGCGTAAACACGTTTCTGTTGCTTCATGTTTGTCAGACCGAGGTCACGTTCTTGTAGAACATTGTTCAACAGCTGTACTGGAGAACAAGAAGATGATAAAGCCTGTGCACTTGGTCATGTAGGGAGAAAAGGAGGAAACAATAATAACATTTGAGCAAAGCGCGACAAGAATGATCTTTCATCTAAATTCTGTCAAAATTAAAATAAATTGTGATCCATATTGTGGTACAGATGGTACAGGGAGGACTGTGACCAGGTGCATAATGAAGAAACAAATTAACAAAATATAATCTCAGTCTATATTATGTGTGTGTGTGTGTGTGGAGGGGGGGGGGGGGCCTGGGGGGAGGGGGAAAGAGGAGGAGGGAAAGTGATGCAAGGATCCGAGGACAGTCAGGAAGTGGAGAATAACTGGAGGAGGTGGCTACTGGAGCCTGTTTCCATGGTAACCAGCTAGTGGAGGGAGGATGGTGGAACGTGGGATAAATTGAGGGGGAGGGAGGGTTGTGTCGATGTGTGTGTGTGTGTAGGGGGTGGAGGGGGAGGGCTCTGCCTGTGTCTGGCTGAAAATAATTAATTCCAATAAAGACGCAGACACGGTCCCTGATTGTTGATCATGATTTATTCTCTCTGATCCATAAAGGAGGAGGTTTGATTTTTATCTGTCTGTGTTTAACGTTTCCGCATAATCCAAAATGCACATTCATTTTGAAATCCGTCTATTATGGGAAAATAATGTTGTAAAATTCACATTAAACCACAAGTAAAGAATAAACCGTACGGGTTTTGTCATTTCTATTTTTTGTTTTACTTTTAAAATAACGTTTCTGTCAGTTTAGCTTCTTGATAAAGGATAACACCATTCTGCCGTTTCCATGTTTCATGCTTTATAACTGGGGAGCCGCTTTATTCGGACCGCAAGCTCAAACTTGCCTGAGTGAAAACAAAAACTGCTGAGATTTAATTATTCATAAACATCACACTGTGACAGCCGACTGAGCGGTCTGTAAACTTACCAAAAAAGTAAGAAAATTTAGTTAAATATTAATGTGACAAAGCTTCTTGGAAATATGTATTACACATATTTAATAGGAAAAATGTATTTGAGAAGCAGAATTCAATATGAGGGCTGCTCCAAACAGCTTCTTCTATTGACTCTTGTTTGGTGGGATTAGATGGTCAAAGTCTGAAGAAACTTGACAAATAGAGGCTACGGTAGCATGTGGAAGAACCATACACAGCCACACCAGCTTGGGCACACGCTGCTGTCAGGTGGCACCCCATTCTCCAACCAGCATTCGACCTAAATCAGCCAGCGTGGTTCTGTTGGTCACTCTGGAACGATCAGCTGATTCAATAGGTTTTCAGATAGTCTGAGGTCAGGACTGCAGGCGGGCCGGTCCCACATCCTGGTGATAAAACCTGCTCTGTGGGGGGTGAGAGTCGTGGAGGCAGAGTCCAGACCCAGACTCTGAAGGTATGGGAACACCACCAGCTGTTCACTGGACGCATGTTTGTCCTGAATGTGACGCACAAACTCAACTCCGTTGCTCAATCCAAGAATGTGGCGCCATTTAAGGGGAAATAAAGAAACTTGTGAAAGATACAAGGTTTATTAAGAAGCGTTGGAACAACCAACAATAATCAACTATGAACTTCTCTGTGCTGTTTTCCTGCTGATCAGATCAACGTGAGTACCAGTAACGGACATAAACTCCTGGATTTGTTGCTCTGATCCTTTGGCAGCACGTTTGTTGTTATGTCAGCAATAAATGTTGCACGGCTGCAGGTAAATCTTAAGAAGAATTATTAATTTTACAGTTTTACAGGAAGAAGTCAGAGGGTTGATGGCTGCCGTTATAATGTGATTCACCACGTGTTTGTTGTTGTTTTGTTTGTTTACATTCAAAACGCAGATGCACAATATAAACACATAATATAATAAACGTTTGTTTTAATTGTAATTATTCAATTAGAAATTCCACATATCTTCCGTCTATTTTTATTATTATGATTTATAGATAAATTAAGAATGTTGGAAGTTAACACCACATGTTTTTTGTTGTTGTTGTTGTTGTTGTTTTTGTAAAGGGCCAGATTTGTTTGGATGTCACAGTATTTCAGTTTAATTCAAAACAATTTACAGTCAGGGTCTCTCACCTTCAAACCAGGTCGCCTGCACCTGACCGCAGAGTGCTTCATTTTCACAAAACTAGATTTGGATAAACATAAGATCAAGGAAATATTTTTTCAACTTTTTTCAAACAATCTGTGAATTAACACCAAGGTAAAAATGTAAATCTTGAACACGGCATGCTTTTACTTCTTTGGGTGTCAGATTAGGCCCAGATTATTCATCACATCTTGTCATTTGAAAGCTCTCAGACAGTGAAAACTGCTCTGTTACTTATATTTTTTAATTTTTATTTACTGACCATTAAACATTTATTAAAGATACAATATGCTGCAGCTTTCTGCTGAAGGATGCGTCATCCTGGAGCGCCCCCTGCTGGGCATATGGTGTAATTACAGTTAAATAATGAAACGAGTTTATCAAAGATAAAAATAAAAAAACTGTTTTAAATTATAGAAAAACCTGCAGAATGTCTCAGATTACATCTATGTGACATAAATTGCATCAAGTTTTATCCATTTGTTTTATCTATAATTTTAAAGCAAGTTAACTCACAAAGGGACTAAATGTTCTGTGCAAGCATTTATTTAAGTAAAAATTAATTATTTGACTGTTGTTAAAAAAACAATTTTATTTGGAATATAATTGGGTCTTATTATTTAAACAAACATTAAAAAAAATCATCATATGAGCTCCAATGTTTAGATATTGTTTAAAGAATAACAAGTACAATATGGTCAACATAGATAATGAACATTTATTTCATTGTAAACCCATAAAATGTATAAATAAAATAAAATAGTTTATTGTTAAGCAAGAAATAATCAACAAAAGAGCTAAAAGCTAAAACCAGCAAAATACATAACTAAAAGCTAGAATTAGCAAAACTGTTCTAAAAATGTAAAATCAACTAAAGAGTCGCTAAAAGCTAAATTTGGAAAAACCAAACAAAACAGTTTGAGTGAGGAAAAGAACAGCAAAAAGCTAAAATTAACAAAAAAATTGAGCCAAAAGTTAAAATTAGCAGAAGCGTTCTTATCAAAACGGTAGGTAAAAGCTCAAATTAAAACTGCAGCTAAAAGTTAATTACCAAAACTCTGGGTAAAAAAAAAACTAAAATGAGCAAAACAGTAGCTGAAAGCTATACAGTTAGCAAGATGGCAGCTAAAGGGAGTATAAATAACAAAAATAGAGGAAATACTTAAATAGATTTCACAAAATGATCTTTCTGAAGGAACTGAAGAACTTGCAACGTATGATGAGGAAAAATTCATAATTTTTTTATTATTTCGGCTGATCCCTTCTTCAGGGGTCAACAGTGATCAATCGATCGATCGATCGATCGATCCATCCATCTATCTATCTATCTATCTATCTATCTATCTATCTATCTATCTATCTATC